CAGAGAATGCTTCGTGACTACTCTAAGCAGAAATGAAACAGTAAGTTATTTAGATGTTCAGGTTTGGGTGTGTGATGGTTCTGTTTAACAGCAGGGAAAGAGGAAAACATACGTGTTACTGCAGCTGCTCTGGCCTTTTCATTACTCAGTAGAAAGTCAGCTTCCGTGCATAACAAAGAGAGAAGTGAAAAGGCAGCTCTTCCTGCCGTCTTTAGACTTTCCCTTCTATCCATGTCCCTGGGGGACTCAAAGATACAGCTACTTCTCCCTTCACGCCCAACACAAACAAGGGAAGAAGCCAACAGGAAGGAAGAGGTCTGGGTGCTCTGTGAGGCTGAAGGACACCTCATCTTCAGACTTGAGGTCGGCAAAGCGGCCCCCGCCTGTAGTGAGAGAAACTCACTTAGGACTTGGAATCAGGAGGTTCCCCCCCCCCCCCCCCGCCAATTCCCAACAACAGTCCTTTGTGTGGACATCAGGCTTCTCTGCCTCCATCATCCAGAGCACAAATGGTTCTTCTGAAACACTAAACAGGCAAATCCATAAGCCAAAGTATAAAACAGGTGCCAGGAGTTGCAAAGCGACAGGTGTCTGGGCAAACATGGCCAACAGACACATTGCTTGGTCTACGGAGTGTTTTAAGACTGAAAAAGTTTACATGTAAGTCTTGACATCCAATTTCTCTTAAAATGTTGAATGATCAGACGGCAGCAGGTCTGCATTTCCAACTAGAATCTGAGCCAGGCCACTCTACTCAGAAAGGGCATGCCCCCTCCCCAGTCGCCTCTCAGTGGCCCTGGATGCACCAGCCTACCATTAACTTGCACCACCTGCCTGACCACCATGCAATACGAGTCTCTGAGCCCTGTCCTATGCATTACAAGTTTTATATCTCACACTACACTGAATGAAAAATCAAGCAGCATAGATCTAGAATAAGGAAACATTAAGTGTTTTGAGATGTATATTTTTACCTCTTACAACAGTAGCCAAGCCCTAACAGAGAAGTAGCTGCTGAGGATAAGAGGGGGCAGCAGGGAAGGAGAGGGTAAAGGAATAACACAGTCCATGGACAATGAGTGGAAGCACTCTACAGGCCTGACACAGTTCATCGTGGGGCACACTCTCACCCTCATGACCGCAGAGTACAACCACAGGACAGGACGAAGGTTTCAAACACCTTCATCCTGTGCATTACCATTTTCAACAGCCTTTGACCAAATATCGAGACTAATGACACACATAAATCTGAACTTCAGATTCCGCGTCCCATCGGTACAGCTGCTCTCCTAACTCCCTACAACAAAGTAGGAAGACCTAGATTTCCTTTTAGCGGTTCCAGAGAAAAAGGAATCAAGAAGGGTAAGTTCAACTTTCCCAAACAGGCGTGGGGAAGCAGGCTGAGCAACCTAGGGCCTGGGCCTACCTAAACACAACTTCACCAAAAGCAAACCTCAAGCTCATTGCAACTGCAGAGGTTGGTCACTTTTTTTCTATTATCTTTCATGTTGTCTAAGTCCTCACACAAACTATGCAACCAAAAAAGAGGAAGCACATTTTCAAGAAGTGAGAACGGTTTCTGAATCCTAACCACACCACTTTATTCAACTCTTTCTAATCAGAAGATTATAGTTTCATCATATTGGATCTTCAAATGTAATACTAATGCTATTAATAAGTATTGCTATTTATCATTAACACTTTTTAATATATTTACACAGTACTTTATAATTCTCAAAGTGCTCATATCCTTGAGGGGACAGATAAGTTGGCATAGAGCACTCGCCCTAACATGTAAAAGGCACGGAAGCACCGAGCCTATGGGTAACTTGTTCAAGGTCACACAGCTGATCATCATTAGTACAACTCCACAGCTCCGACATGAATTCCAGAAATACATAAAGTGACTTGGTAGTCAAGAAAATAGCGGACCCTAGTAAAGAGTAAGCACAAAGATGAAACACTGCATGCATATATACACACATACGCGTTTTGATGCACACACAAATGCCAAAGCTATACTGTAAGAGTAAAAATTTAATATTCAATAAAACTCAATGTTAAATATTTTAATGTTGAAAAATTATCCTAATGTTAAATTAACTGGATCTGCCCAGTTATTCTTTCTGGCAGATTATGAAAAGGTGACCAGTTGGAATTACAGGTTTGAAATAGAATTTTTGTCTTACTCATAAAAGAGCACTGTCACCACAAAGCAACCGCTCGCTCACAACAAATCTTTCCATGGTTGAGTCAACATTCAACATAATTACCCCTAAATGGGCAACTCGGACATTCCTTCCAATGAAGTAGGTCACTAGAACATCCAGGACTCTCTGCCCTAAACACATGTCGCCCTCTAGTGGCATCCACCTCCCTGTTTCCCGGGTGAAGTCCCTCACTGGAGGCAACTGTGCTTTACAGAGCTGATAGCGTGATTTTACTCAAAAATATAAAACTTGCGGTGCCTGGGTGGCTCAGTCGAGTTAGCATCTGACCCTTGATCTCACTTCAGGTCCTTTGATATCGGGGACATGAGTTCGAGCCTCGCATTGAACTCACCCAGCGTGGGGCTTACTTGAAAAAAAAGAATATATATATATATATATATTATATATTCAGTATATATATTTTGATATGTAGTTTAACGTATTTTAATATATATTTTTTTATATTTTTAGTATATGTAAGTTAAAAGTTAATTTCTGCAGTTGATAAGACACTTAGATCATTTTCTCTTAAGGAGAGCTAATGAATAACTTAAGTCTCTGTTGGTGAATGGGGCATGTAACTCTGAAGTTGATCGGTTCCTTCACTTGAGAGTTCTATAGTCAGGCTAATCACAAAACTCAAGCGGTTCTGGTGCACTTGCTAAAATGCTCACAAGGGAATAATGCAGTGTTAACTCAACACTTGGTGCAAGAAGCTTAGCAGAGCAAAAGGACATCTTGAATTTTAGTTACGCCTACTTTCTTCCCTGGTATCTCACTTCTATATATTAAAAACCTTAACAGTCTTACAACTTTTTACCTAAGAAAGTCTTTATCACAAATAGACACCCTGAAAGAACAAAGTAACACTCTAACTTGTGTGAATAAGTGGAAAATTACACAGACTTATAATCAGTATACTCTATGGAAGTACTAAAGCATCGCTATTGAGACTTCACAGCGAATGAGAAAATATGCTCCGTCTGTACCTCACTCAACATTCTGACATTCTACTGGGCAGCAGTGAACTTGAACCTCATCTTTGAGAAGCAGGGTGACACCACAAATTATTCCAGAAAGAGGAATAACCTATGGCAGATTCACATCAGATTCGCCTAAGGGTGGGAGATAAGGAAAGGTTTGGGGTTATTGTTTCTCTGGTTTAATCTCTCCCTTCCACATATGCATTCTCAAAGGCTAGTACAAAATTCAAAGATAATAGTAATCAGTTAACTAAGGTCTTCCTTAAACGCAGGTGCCATGTCTTAATATTTACCTCTTCGTTCCCAGTGCCTAACACAACCTGGATATACCATAAGTGCTCTCCACTGTAAAAAGAAGACAGACAAGCTTGCTCATTCTCCCAAATTAAGGGTGAGAGTAAAAAACTGAAAAACCTTTGTTTATACAGCAGTTCAATCATGAAACAATCTAATCCAAGAAAGCATAGGATAATAATTGTCTGTGATAGGGCAGCCTGGGTGGCCCAGCGGTTCAGCACCTGCCTTCAGCCCAGGGCGTGATCCTGGTGTCTCTGCCTGCCTCCCTCCCTCTCTCTCTCTCTCTCTCTCTCTCTCTCTCTCTCATATGAATAAATAAAAATAATAAATAAATAAAAATAAATAAAATAATAAATAAATACAAATCTTAAAAAGTAAAGATTTTATTTATTCATGAGAGAGAGAGAGAGAGAGAGAGGCGCAGAGACACAGTCAGAGGGAGAAGCAGGCTCCATGCAGGGAGCCCGACGTGGGACTCGATCCTGGGTCTCCAGGATCACGCCCTGGGCCGAAGGCAGCGCTAAACCGCTGGGCCACTCGGAGAATCCCCAAATAAAATCTTTAAAAATAAAAAAATTGTCTGTGATAGTTAACTTTACTTGTGAATTTGGTTAGGCCACGGTACAGTTTTTTTGGTCAAATTCCAGTCTAGATGTTGCTGTGAAGGTTATTTTTTTTAAATGTGGATAACATTTAAATCAGTTAACTCTGAGGAAAGCAGACTATCCTCCATAATATGAGTGGGCCTCACCCAATGAGTTGAAGGCCTTAAAAGAAAAGACAGGTCCCCAAGGAAGAAGGAATTCTGCTTCTATACAGGCTTCAGACTCAAACTGCAACATCAACTGTTCCCAGGGTCCCCAGGCTGCTAGCCTGCCCTGCACATTTCAGATTTGCCTGCCCTCATAATCATGTGAGCCAATTCCTTAAAATAAATTGGAAAATTATGTATACACACACACACACACAATTATGCGTGTGTGTGTGTGTATACATATATATGTGTGTATACTGGTTCCCCCTCTCCATGTTGGTTCTGTTTCTCTGGAGAATCCTAATACATTGCATACAGATTTTTCAAAGATCATGACTACAATATTCACTCACTGCTCTAAATATTAAAATACAATCCCTCTAAGTTAAAGCCAGAATGAAGTCCAATCACTAAATGGATACTGTGCTAGAACTAAAATGATGGGGGTGATAATAATGGCCAAGAAAAATCTTTCCAATAAATACACCTAGGTTAATCAGCCCAATGATCATTCCATTTTAATAATCTGGAGGGGTTTCAGTCCAACAAAAAAATGATTTCAGGGTGTAGACACCTTCTAAGCTATTATACTTCACAGAAAAGGCTTTGCCAGAATGGAATGAATGAAAAAAGAGGAAAGAAAAGAAAAAAAAGAAAAGAAAAGAAAAGAAGGGAAAGAGAAAGAGAAGGAAAGGAAAGGAAGAAAGAAAAATAGGTTGAGAAAATTAAAATGAAAAGAAGAAAAACATTAGCTACCTCTTGGTTATCTTTGTTTTGGTTTGCCCAGAAAATCTTATGATAAAGCGTCTCCATTGAATTGCTGGAATCAGTTCGGTCAAAACAATGTCGATCCAACACTTCCAACGTGTGCAAAACCCGACTAATGGTCACTCCTGGATGTGGAAATTAAGCAAGCATTTAAAGAGGTTAAACGAAGCCAGAACAGCATAGTACAAAATCATCAATATGTAGGGCAAAGGGGATTTTAAGGAAGTGTCATTCTCAGCATGTAAGAAATGCCAACAAAACCAAACCTGACGTTCTAGACAGCCAGGAGCTAAAGGGCACGGAATGAAGAATGCCTCAACAGTCACTAGGTGGCTCCGCCGAAAAGCACCCTTACTCAGTATGGGGACGGATTTTGTAAGAATCAGAAACACGCCCTAAAGGCCAACATTCAGAAGCACTCCTTCTTCTCTCGTGTGCTGTACCTGCTGTTGACTCTTGGCACTTGTCAAAAGACCACCGAACTTCCACTGCTCGGCCTCTTTGTTTTATCTGCTGTTCCACCTCATAAATCCTTGCCCGAACCTGAAAGATAATCGCTTCTAATTAACTTGTGCTTGGAAAGCCACGGTGGCTGTCTAAATCATGTCAGGTTCTCCCACGTGAGCACAGCATCCTACAATGAACCGCGATCCTGACTAACATCATAGCAAATTTAGCCTGTTGCCCAAGAAGCACATTTTAAAATTTACAAGTGGTGGCTCAATGCCAGTTGTCAATAACAAATGCTCCCAGAAAACTAACACTTGCTTTATTACAAGTGAAAATTTTTGTAGGATTATCATATGGGAAAGTGAAAGCTCTAATGTATCCTTCTTGAGACATTTTTCTATGTATGAAAACAACCACCCCCCCCCCAAAAAAAAAAGAAAAAAAAAAAAAAACAACCAGGCATGTTTTATTAAGAAAAATGCTTGGTAAAAAACAGATTTTTATTGTCAACATTAGTCACGATCCTGTAGTTTAAGATTCTTAAGTCCCTGGACCAAATAACCCCACATTAATAAAACTGACTAATAAAAACACAGTTATTAAATATCACAGAGTACCAACTAGGAGAGCCGCGGTCATGTATTAGAACCACCACCGTAACTACTGTCTGTCTGGGTAGCAGAACTCTGGAGGAACTGCCCCGCAAGAGGGAAAGAAGAAAAGGGGCAGCGTGATGGACATCTATGGTTCAGAGAGGCCACATACTTGCCCCAAGTTCTCCACAGAGAAGGGGGAGCAGGGTTGGGATGAGCATCCGAGACGCTAAAACTTACTTGGCCCCCATGCCATGATGCCCCTCAAGAATGAAAACACCCATCGAACCCCCGTAACGGAAAGCCTACCTGCTGATTGAAGGCCGTGTTCCCACCTGGCATGGGGAGGCTGGAAGGGGCCACCTGCAGCAGATCCAGGGGCGAGCCTGGGTTCGCGCTCTTATTGTCGTTTGTGGAATAGTTCCACACCAAGGCACTTGGGCAACAGAGAGTGACAGTCTGGAAATGGAGCAGGAAAATCTTGATATTTAAAGGAATGAGAAAAGTATAATAGCTTCAAAGCAAAAAGGATGCCTTATCATAACCATACTAATAGTTTCCTATCAGTAGGTTTAGAATATGCACCGCTTACCCCTGCACATTCTCAAGGTTTCAAGTCCTAAGACAAAACTAAGAGTTATTAATTTGAGGGATACCTGGGTGGCTCGGTCAGCTAAGTGTCTGACTTTAGCTCAGGTCATGATCTCAGGGTGGAGATGCACGGAGCCCCGAGTTGGGGCTCAGCAGGGAGTCTGCTTCTCCTTCCCCCGCTCCCACTGACCCTCCCTCCCCCTGCTCCTGCTCTCTCTCTCTCAAAAAAAATAAAATAAAATCTTTAAAAAACAAACAAAATTACTAATTTGAAAGGGAGTACAACTACTGAGAAAGTAAGAAATATTATAATTCATAAGCTAACATTTCAGCCCAGAAAAACCTAGGAAAGTTAACAAAAACACAGTAATCATCAGTGAAAAATAGTCGCTTAAAACAATTTTTTCATGCAATTAGAAAAATGAGATGGAATTAGGATATGTTATTTCCTAAGGTTTTAAAATCTAAGGAGGAACTTTTTTTTTTTAATCTATGACATCATCTCTGAGATAATGCAGTAAAATAAATGTTGGACAGGCAATAACCCTGGACCGGCAGGTGGCAAATTTCTATAAAAAGCCAGGGGGGGGGGGGGACCAGAATAAATGCTTTAAATTTTGCAGGTCACCTATAATCTCTGCCACATATTCTTTTATTTTGCTTTAATAATTCACTGAAAATATAAAATGTATTCTTAGCTCCTAGGCTGGATTTGGCCTCCAGGGTCTGTCAACCCCTACCTTAGAGGTTTCTTACTCAAGCAGTTTGCATGAAGCACTTCGATGACCACCTCACCCCTGGGTCCCAGAAACGCCCCGAGGTAGAAGTGTTCCTCCCCAAGTCTACCAAAGAGGAGCATGAGCCATGGTGGAGGTTAGTAGCTGATTTCAGCACGCGTGCCTGGAACCACTACACTAACCCTCCTGCCTCCTAAACGCAGATGAAACAGTAGGGCTCCAGTTTAATCAAGCACTTACCCTGTCCTGTACCCCGCCCTGCAAGCTTTCAGTCATCGTAACCCCAACTCTATGTGGCAATGAAGTAAGAACGGTCACCGTCCCCCTCACACTCAGGAAATGGAGGCTCAAGGTTCAAGTTAGTCAGTGGCAGAGCAGAGGCTAAAATCAGGTCTGCGATGATTCTGAAAAATAGGGTCCTAACCATCGTGCTGTGGTGCCCCTCAGCGATAGACTCTGTGAGCTTATTAGAGAGGGAATGTAGTATTTCCTTTTTTTTTTTTTCCAAATGCAAAAGTGTTAAGAAAACTAGATTCTGAGGTCTAGCGGACATCTTGGTGGAAACCAGACGGCAGACGTGAAGAATGTCGAGTCCCTGAGCCCCACATCCCCATCTCCTTCCTCCTGTGTGTGAGAAGGTGAGGGCTTCTCATCTCCTGTCCGTGAGGATGCTCTTCCCAGTGTTCTGAATTCCAAAGCTGCCAACATCCAGGGCACTGACCTATCAACACTCTGCTGCTCCTGTTCTCACTCTCTACTAATTTACCCTCAGTGCAGAAAAAGTAAGTTTTTAAAATCTCCACTCACCTAACAGCAATCTCTCTCTTTCCTTCACAGGCATGTGTCTCAAAAGAACAGGTCGTGTTAGTCCTCCCCACTCCTCACTGCTCCTCAACCCACCTTACGATGGCTTCTCACCCACTACTCAACCGATCATCAGTGACCACTCTCTTCTCAAAGACAATCCAGCCATCTTCTGACCAGACTTCCCCAATCTGCGGGGCACTGCCCACTATTAGCTCCTTGTAGAAACCTTTTGCAGCACCTAGAGAAGCAGCTCAACATGGCAGTGACGAATGTGGACTCCGGATCCAGAATGCTGGTGTGAATTCCAGCTTTGCCCCTTGCCTGCGCCGTGACCTACACCATTTCATCACTAATGCTGCAGCAGTAAGACTGGTTCCAATCTCATAGGATGGTTCTGAGAACTGAATGACTTAATATAGGTTATAATTTACAACAGGGCTAAGAACACAATAAATGCTATTACTAGGCTTGTAACAGAATTCTATTCTTATTCCCTTGTCCTTGTCTCCATAACAAGACTCTCTTCTTTCTGGTCTCTCCAGGCTGGCCACATTTTCATGGTCACCTCCAAGAACTTCCCTTTGTCCACCTCTCAACCACTCAGGCCTGCCGGGTCCGCTGGTCGCCTCTTACTGCTAACTCTTTGGGTAATCTGACCGCCTCCGGGGATTTAGGTCAGCCAAGTTGCCGAGTGGTTCAAATCCACACATGGGCCCAGCTGTTTCCTCAACTTCAGAATGAGACACGTAACAACCTCTTGAACATATCCATTTAGTGATGCGAAGGAATAAAATAATCCAACACAGTCCAAAAGCAAACTTACCCACACTCTCCCAAACTGACTTCTTGGCCTTGTGTCTCTCTTTCCCCTACTTCGCCACTCCCACAAATCTTCCCTCTATTGTGGCCAAAACAAATCTAACTAAACCGCACCACTGAACATGTCATTTCCCCGGCCTCAAACCCTCCAATGGTGTCCTAATCCTAAGACACACAGGGAGCCTTCTATGCCCTGACCCCCCACAGGCTTTGTACTTTATGTTCCATTAATTCCAACCTGCACGCACAATGACTGATAGGCCCTCTGGCCCCTTTCTCGTGTTGTTCCCTCTGCCAGCCATTTTTAACTTTTTTTTAAATGTTTAATCACTATATAGCCTCATACATAAGCACGATATAACCTCCTGTTATAAGCCTGTCCTCCCCACAAGACAGTAAACACTACCAGAGTGGAGAACATGTCTTTATGGCCAGCCTTGCCCCAAAACCCCTTAGTAAAGAGCAGGACACATTAAGAGCCCAGGCAACGTGACCTGAACACTAACCTGCAAGCTCCACAGGACAGGGCTGTACCTCATTCCTGACAGTACCAGCCCAGTGGTTTACATGCTCCTGGATGTTCAAGGACCACGCAAGCAGTGATGCAGGGCAAATGAAGAGAGCCTGATAAATTACCTGGACTTTAAAGAAACAGAGAGGGATGGCAACCAACTTCAGATGTGGACTGTGGGAGCTACGGAACGCTGCATGGAGGAATGGTCTTCCAGAAGAAAAGTAATGCAGCAGACTTACTCCCTGGGTTCCCTGAAGGATTTTTATCATGGAACTGCTGCATGGCATCATACAGGACAACTACGATAACTTTCTCCTACACAGAAGCAACAGGTCTTCACTCAGCTTGATCCAACACAGAGAAAATGAAACATGAAATTTCAATCTGCAAATCTCGTGGGTGAGGAAGAAACCGGAACTGGAGTGTGACGTGAAAGTTTGATGGTCCAATTCTCAACCCAGTGGTTTCCTACACCGCATTTTAACATTAAGTAGCAAGGGCCAGGGACTTACCTGCAACATACAACTAAGTCCATAAACCAGAGGGCCGTGCTGTGCACAGGAGAGGAAGTCTGAGAAGGCCAGCTGCACAGGGCTCATGACGGGGCCAGGGGGGCCAGGGCTGGGGGCCCCGATGCTTGAGCTGTTTGGTCCTATCATCATGTGGGGCGAGTGGGCAGCCAGGAGGCTGGGGCTATCGCTCAGCAGCAAGGCAAGACGCCGGGCACAGAAGTAGGCAAGACGACGAGACAGGTAAGCCGACTGAACAAACTCATCCGAATACTGAGAAGCACAAGGACACCAGGCTTCAGTTAGGTCTGATATTATTCAGTGAAACAACTATGTTAACACAGACTTTTTTCATTAATGGGGGGAAAAAAAAAACCTTCTAAAGTACTGTAGAAACCAGTGCCATCAACCAGAACCACATGCAAGCCACATATTTAAAGTTTCCAAAAAACATTTAAAAAAGTAACAGGGAATATGAAATTAATAATGTATTTTATTTAGTCTATTATATTCAAAGTACCATCATTTCAACAGGTAATCAACCTCAAAAGATTTAATTAGATTTTATACACTTTTTCCTGAACTAAATCTGAAATCTGGTGTGCATTTTACACTTAGAGCACATCTCAAGTTGCACCTGTCACATTTTAAGGGCACAAAAGCCATATGTGGCTAGTGGCTACTCTAATGGACATGGACACAGACCATCACAGGGAGGACACATGGGATGCTAGTGTGGTGTAGTCCCCAGCAGGGCACTAGGGAGAGGAAGAAAATCGAACAGTGCTTCAATTATCAAATTCATACACTAAAATTCCAAAAAAAAAACTTTGGGTTTTTTTTTTTCCTAATAAATTTTATTCAAATAACCTAAATTTTAACAGATCTTAGAGCAATCATTGAAACAGGAAGCTCCCAGTCCCAGGGACTCAAAGAACATCAAAAGAATAAATTAGACCCTCTAATCCTTAAAAAAAAAAAAAAAGATGATTTATTTCCACAGAAATCTGTAAATCGGGAGACAGTAATTAAAGAGCTGTCTGCTTAGCTCAGTGACGGAAGCAATCAGTGGAGGTAAGAATACTTTAGAAGGACATGTGGTTAAAAACTCTGAACATGGCTAACATAAACGATTGCCTCTTGATCACATGTTGTAGCATCAAGACATTTTTCCCTTCTATTCCAGAAAGAACTGTTTTCCTCTTTCACATCAACATACTTAACCACCCTTATCAGACTCATTTCCCACCCATAAAAACCAGCGGGCTCATCGTCACACATACTATACCTGCAGCATTAGTGGTAACAAGAGTTTAAGAAGGTCATCATCCATTGGTCTGATCTTTTCTAAAACATCCAAGATCCACGTCAGATATTCATGTTTTTCTAGCATTCCTTCCTTCAATGAACAAAGAAAAAGTTACACCGATAATGTTAAAAAGCAAAACCAATTAACATTCTAAAAAGAGCCCGATTACTCTTACTCTTATGCTTAAGTGTAATTTCGCTAGTAGTATTTTTGCTGTTGTAGTAAAATATGGTCTCCTGAATCACGGTCCACGTTCTAAACGAAACAAAGACCCAGTGTGATTCTGTATGGTTGGTTTGGGCTGGGGGTGAGGAGCTTCTGTTGTTTTCATTTTTTTGGTAATCTGCTTCATTCTAAACTGAAAAACGTTAATTCAAAGTTTTCAGACTACCAGGACGTGTCAAGTGCCTGGCTGGATTTCAGGGGAGTATGAACTTATAGGAGAAAACTTATTCAACGGTGCTAATTATAAAGAACAAAAGCCCCCAGCACACCATCACCTCAGCAAGCAGTGGAAAATCCCATCAGATCGAATGTCTTCCTATTATCCCTGCCTCCATCCGAAAATTAACTTCAGATACTATGACCTATGTATAAAATATAACCTTAAACATCAACATAATGACCTGATTAATCATTAACACAAAAATGAAAAAAAAATCAAAAAAAGAAATGAAAAAAATGTCTAATAAAATAATGTATACATATTCCAACATAACTACATTAAAAATAACAACACATCTCAAATTTCCAAAATGGTCCACCGGGGTGGTGGTACAAGCACCATTGATATTTTCATCTATTACCCTCATGTTAACACACATGCATTTATATAAATACACAATTCCTCTATGACATTCTACGCATGTACGTATTCGACGTCACCTTAGAGTTTTGTGTTTTGATTCACATCATGAAAGAATCTTCAAACTACGAACAAAAATGACAGGTCTTCTGGGAAAGGCACTTATGTTCTTATAATCATTTTGATAACAACCTCAGTGGTTACCAAGAACTCCTACTTTATTCCTAGCAACATCTTCACACCTATTTATCACCAGTGCTCCACTACAACCATCATCAACAATCTGTGTGAAACTACGCTGATCAATAATAGCTCCAGTACTAAAAAGATTACAGTGACACCACATTGACATGATATCAAGGTATCTACTTGTTGTTCATTCCTCATTTTTAAAATGCTTAAAATCAAAGAGTTAACAGGTCACAGAAAAAGTACAGTTTAAAATTTTAAGACCTATGAGCTTTGAGTTAATGACTTAAGAAAACAGAATTTTGTAATTCAGGGAGAAGACATGGCAAATCCAAGGTCTAAAAAAAATAAGTCTTCACAAACCTGACTTTCAGCAGCTACATAACATCTATCCTCAGGATGTTTTTGTGGATGTACCCATACCCTTATTTCTGCACATGTGTCCATTAGTGTATATACTAAGTCAGTTTCATGTTTTAGAATATGGCCAATTTATAAGAAACTTTTAAATTTCAACATTAGGGATCCCTGCGTGGCTCAGCAGTTTAGCGCCTGCCTTCAGCCCAGGGCGTGATCCTGGAGTCCCAGGATCGAGTCCCACATCGGGCTCCCTGCATGGAGCCTGCTTCTCCCTCTGCCTATTTCTCTGTCTCTGTCTCTCTCTCTCTCTCTCTCTCTTATATGAATGAATGAATGAATGAATGAATGAATGAATAAATAAATAAATAAATAAATAAATAAATAAATAAATAAATAATAAAAAATAAATTTCAACATTAATGTCCCAATTAAATTCATCTCTTTAGGACTTAACTGCTTCCCATACATAAAGCAGATACCGATTTCAGGGCTCCCAGTACATGAAGTAGTCCTTCCAAAAATATTAAGCATGCTGATAGACACTTTTTCAAAGACGAAGACGAAATCCTCAGCTCAGTAAAAGTCTCAAAGGCTCAGGGAAGGCACAAGGGTAGTCCTCTGCTAAGTGGAACTAGGATTTGTAAGCGTGGTTTTAACTGGCTTAAAACCAACAATGCGACTTCCCAAGGAACCAGGCTCTTCCCTAGTTTGAGCTCTTAGAAGTCACCTACAACCTGGAAATTAAAAGCTCTAAGGGGAAAATCAAGAAGCCACACGTCCTTTTTACCCCCTTCCTCTCTGATCAAGCTATTAGGCAGTGAAAGTCTCTGCGGGTCCTACAACTTCAGCAGAATAAACTCCTCTCTCCTGCCTCCCCGCTAGGAATAGACAGGCCAACAGCAGCACACGCGCCCTCTTCTGGTCAATATGATTTACATCTGCTTGTCCAGAGAGCATCCGTCACTGCTCCGTGCCCCTTACTCATCCTCCTTACTTGCCCTTTATACAGCCGCTGAGCCAAATTCAGATGACCCTTCTATGGAGAAACGAAGCCCTGTAGAGATCTAGGACACGAGAAACACCAACACAAATATCTTTTTGAATAAATGTATCCAATTTTTGAAAAATAAAAGGTTTAGAAAGGATATTTAAGAGAGAAATTTAAAAAAAAAAAAAAAACTGGGACACCTGGGTAGCTCAGCAGGTGGGCGGATGCCTTTGGCTCCGGGCATGATCCGGGAGCCTGCTTCTCCCCCCTGCCTGTGTCTCTGCCTCTCTCTGTGTGTCTCTCGTGAATAAATAAATAAAATATTAAAAAATAAATAAATAAAAAGAACTTGCTCTCTTCTTAAAAACATGCTGGACACCCTTGAGTTTCTTGAGGAGGTTACCTGGAACATGTGAAATGCCAGCTTCTCATTATACTCCCATTGTTTCATGGCTTGCTCTACATCCAGTGGCACAGGCACAGGACCATCACCTGTGCTGGAAGCCATGTGGTAAAAGTCGGAAATCTTGGCCAACTGCTCTCGAAGATATCTGGTAGATATTTGTGTCCACTCTGCATTTAAAAAAAAAAAAAAAAAAAAACTAAATTTCCAGAAACAATGGATATAAGAATTAACATTTTCTCCCCCACTTTCTGATTACCTTAAAGATGTACATATACAACAAACGTCTATTACATCAAAGTGGTTCTGGCATGCACAAGAATTGTACAAAAAAAAAAGCACACCCACCCCAGTAATGCAATGTGGAAAGCCCTACACACCCAGCAGGAATGTTGGCCAGCTCTTAGGTGGGAAAGGCAGCTCTTCCTGGGTGTCTCTGTGACCCCTAACGTAGGAGGAGAGACGCCTGCACTTTGAGTTATGTACATTTAGTGATGCTCCATGCTATGCTAACAGTCAGCCTAAAAAATATCAAATCCACAAGCAGGAAACAGAACAGAGGAGGTGAGCACCTCAAGAAATCTTAATTATACTCCAAAAGAATTCAAAATCCTCCAGATGCAACTCTCTTAGGGTAAATGTCTCTGGCTCCAAGTCGGATTTCAAACATGCCTAACTAAGATCTGTTCCATTTTTGTCAGTCATAAGAGGACCGGAATCCACCATGGCCCTGACAGCATTCTGACCTGCGCTCCCCCTCCCCACAGCCTCCGGAAACACGAGCGAGGCCGCCTCTCTGACAACTGACAACCGCCTCTCTGACAACTGGACCTTCAGTTATTCTGCTCTCCTCAACCAACACAAGATGCCTCAGAACTCAATCAGGAAGAGTAGTGAGCAACAAAAGGTAGGAGACTGGAAAGGAAATAGAAAAAGTACCATTACAAAAAAAAAAAAAAATCACTAAAATTATTCAAAAATGTCTGCCAGAGGGGCACAAATTAAATCAGTGTGTTGCCTCTGGCAACCGTGAGGGATGTGATGCCAACTTTAGCCCATTCTGTGGATAAAAATGTAATAATTGCATGCTCACAGCCAAATTTCCCCAAGGATTAGCGAAACTGCATTTCAGAAGAAACCACCCTACTGAAACGTTCCCACACAATGCTGTTTTCCCATTATCCTGGCAATTGGCTCTCCCGCCTTATTTTTAAAGGAACCTATTTTGACAAAAATAAGAGCAGAAACTCAACATCTGCTGAGGATTGAGGATTTTTATTTTTTAAGTACTGTTAAAAGTACTTGACAACAGTACCCAGAGAAAACTGTTAAGTCCTGGTCTGAACCACTTGTTCTCATTGTGTCTTATTTAAAATCAAAATTCAAAGGCAAATGTTAAAGTCTTTATAAGCCAATGCAGAAAGATGAACAGATACTTAGGTCAACATTCTGTTCTTACTCTAGTATTTCTGCAGAAAGCACCACCAATAACAGATATTATCATTAAAATTCATCTATTGCCATTAAAAACATGACAGTAAATTATCAGTGTCGTCATCTTCTGGTGCCCCCATTACGGACTAATAGTCTCATGACACTCGTTTAACAAAACAAAATGCCAACCATCAGATGGGACAAGTTTAGCTTAGCTATAATAAGCAAAAACAAAAATAACAAGGATCCAAATCCTAGCTTTTGTGTGCCAAGCCTTGCTATTAACTCCCTCTCAGTATGGTACCATCCTCAATACCCCCACAGAATATTTGAGCCTCAGGAGCTAAAAATAACACACATATTCACACACACCCCTACTCTGTCCAGGGTGTATTTTCCTTTTAAGACTGTTTTTTAAAATGTGGAAGAAATATACAGAAAATACATAATGCAGTATGAAAAGAAAAACATCTATAATACTTTCACCCATAATTAAATATTTTAATATTTATCTTTTCAGGGTTTTTTTTTCCTTTTTATGTGCTGGAATGTTTATATAAACATAAGCATTTCTTCAAAAAAAAATATGCTGAATACGACATTCCACAATCTGAATGCCTTTTGGGATCCAAATGGAATGCAAATGTAGCCCTCCTAGTAGTGTGTTTTAACTTTAAATGTATTTAACTGGCATTGAGTTATCAAATCAAAGAGATTTCTGAGGTCTGGGACATAAGACAGTCCAGAGAGGATTAGTATAAAAAATTAGGATGCACACACAATCTTAATTAAAAATTAAAAACAGAAAATAACAAATGGCCACCGGTCCTCTACCCCTCAAAACTATTCGGATTCCCTGGCCCCTCTCATGCTTAGTTAGGACTGGTCTGGAGGAAGGGGACCAGTTTCAGGTGATAAAAAGAAAATGGGAATGGATAAAAAAACAAAGGGAAGACGGTGATGTGGAGGGGGACAGTCAAAGGTAGAAAAGATACAGACAGGGATCAAGGAGGCCACTCTGAAAGTACAGCAGCTCTCAAGTGAAACAGCTCTGAGGATAGGGCACATCATTCGTGGTTTGTTGATACTGGGAACTTCAGGCCCATGCAGCCAGATTTTTAGAAAACTGATGCACATAAACATCACTGAGAGCGGTGTCAGGGGCCAGGACTGAAAAGAATGACTGGTCCCTTTGACAACATTCCCCCTTGGCCTCCCTGAATCCTACGGCCACTACTGCTTCTTTGTCAATCCCAAACCCCCAAGACAGAGGGGTTTCAGATATCACGCAGCTCACCCTATCATTTTATAGATCCAGGCACAGCAGACTTATGCCAGGCCACACAGCTAAACCAGAAGTGCACCATCAGGTGTGAGATGCCCCACTCTAGTACATGAAAACACACAGATCAATAAACACCTGCAGGTGAGAACAAAAAGGTGCCAAGTTACATTAACGATGATCCTCCTGGGCCTGGAATACCTGCCGTATATTTTTTTTTCCTTTTTGGAATACCTGCGGTATTAAAAAGAAAACTGGGAGTCCAAGAGAGCAGTAACATCCACCCTGGGGGCAAACACAAAACATACCAAGTGCAGCAAGGCTCAAGGAGAAGGTATCCTGGCAGGGAGACATTGGTAGAGAAGGAACAGAGTTAGTCGTTTGTGCTTTTGGTAGAATGAACTTTGGAACAGGATGGACCTGGGTGCAAATTCCCAATCTGCTACTCGGCTGTGTGATGTGCTAGATAGTTTCTGCTAAGTCTCAATTTCCTCCTCTGCAATAGGAACCAATAATACACACACACATACACACGCACGCACGCACACACAGAGTTACTGTAAGGGGTTATTTAGCATGATGCATGCTATGCAGAAATTGATCAATATGTGGTAGCTATCATCACCATTACTGGGGTGAAAAGCTGTTTGAAAGGAAACTAAAGGTTAGACTTCGTCAAAGGACTGCATCTGTTGTCACTGCCGTTAAGACCCTGTCTCTGCTGCAGCTGAGCTGCCAATGCCTAACATGCTCTGGGTAAGTATTTATGAGACCAATCAATATCAGTTTCGTGGTTCCAAAACCTCCAACGGCTCTGCAATCCTTCAAGAATTAAACCCAAACTCCTTGGCTAGGACCTAAAATCATTTTGAATACTACCTAAGTAGCTACAGTTGCTTTCTCTCTGACTCTCAGGCCTATAAAATGCTCTTTATCTACAACACCTTCTCTACTCACTTATGTTAACTTGTGGGAATTTTTCTGAACCCAATTCAAATGTCAAATCAAACACATAGCCTTTCTAGTCTCTGGACACCAACCCTCCACCTAAATGGCATCCCTCTCTGTTCTCTAGTCTCCATAAAACTAGGCCTTACTTGGTCAACGTCTAAGTATTGAGTTGAATCAATACACTCTAAGGTGCTCCCAAAATAAGCACTAAATCAAGTCATTCCTCAATTACTCTACCTCTCAAATCTTCTTACAGAAATCTTTGCCTTCTAGTTTAAACTCATCACTGCTTACACCTAGTTTTCAAACACCATATAGGAAAATGCCAAGCTCCCTCTCTAGCACGCTCTGTCTTTATTACAGCCAATGTGACTAGAAGCAACTGCTAGTCAATGCACGACAAAAGACCCATGCAAATATACTGGACTTTCAATTCTCTTTAATAAACTTGCAGTAGGTATATGAGCGTCCTTTAATTTTGTGAGGCTCATTTTCCTGGCCAAATTCTTTTCCCTGTTATCAAATTAAGCAGGAACTCACTCTCTAAAATAAACCCAACAGAGATCGTTTTAAGATCTCCACCAATCCCAGAGAGTAAGGTATACATTTTTAAGGTGATCCACTGACAAAGAACTTTAGTGAAACATGACAGTCTCCTTAAAGGAGAAACCTATAACCTAAAAAATTCTTCCTGTGGCTACACCACTATAATTGAAGCTCCTGCCTCTCCACAGGGAGAACAAGCCTGCGTCTCAAAACTGTAAGATGTACAAGATTTAATCAGCCTGACTTTGGTGCAGACTGAAGGGTGGGGGAGGACAGACTCAGTGCATGCAAGACACAGCACATTCCACTTCTAAATACTCAGTAAGAATGATTTTAAGATTCTCCACCTTTTTTTTTTTTTTTTTTTTTTTTTGGTTAAAATGCTTTCTTGATCAAAGGATGCCATCAATAAAGTGAAAAGACATGCTACGAATTGACAATATTTGCAAATCACGTATCTGGTAAGAGACTTGGATCTAGAATATATGAACTATTACAACCTGATAATAAAAAATGGGCAAAGAATCCAAACAGGCAATTCTCCAGGAAGACAAACAAAATGGCCAATAAGCAGATGAAAAGATGTTGAACATCATTAGTTACCAGGAAAATGCAAATCAAAACCACAATGAGATACCACTAGGGCAGGTATAAACAAAAAGGTTAAGTAGTAACAGTAGTCATGAGGTTGTGTATAAATTAGAATCTTCGTGCACTATTGGTGGGAATGTAAAATGATATAGCCACTGTGGAAAACAGTTTGGTATTTCCTCAAAAGGTTAAATGTAGATAGAGTTACCATAAAACCCCTCAATTCCCAAAAGAAGTGAAAGCACATGTCCACACAAAGATTTATAAAACCAAGGTTCATAGCAGCATGACGCACAATAGCCAAAAAGTGAAAGCAATCCAAACGTCCGTCAACTGGTGAATGGATAAATAAAATATGTTCTTTGC